GGGTGAAGGTGAAAGAGGACTTGGTGGAGGTGGAAGAGGACAACATGAAGGTGGGAGAGGTCGTGGTCAAGGTGGAGGAGGAGACCATGAAGGTTGGAGAGGACACCATGAAGCTGGAATTCCATAAAGTGAAGACGGAAGAGGACTTGGTGGAGGAGGGAGAGGACAACATGAAGGTGGGAGAGGACACCTTGAAGGTGGAATTCCACAAGGTGAAGGTGAAAGAGGACTTGGTGGAGGAGGGAGAGGACAACATGAAGGTGGGAGAGGACACGGTCAGGGTGGGAGAGGACACCGTCAAGGTGGAATTCCACAAGGTGAAGGCAGAAGAGGACACGGTAGAGGTGGAAGAGGACACCGTGAAGGTGGAATTCCATAAGGTGAAGGTGGAAGAGGACTTGGTGGAGGTGGGAGAGGTCATGGTGAAGGTGGAAGAAGACACCGTGAAGGTGGAAGAGGACTTGGTGGAGGTGGGAGAGGTCATGGTGAAGGTGGAAGAAGACACCGTGAAGGTGGAAGAGGACTTGGTGAAGGTGGAATTTCACGCAGTGAAGGTGGAAGAGGACACGGTAGAGGTGGGAGAGGACAACATGAAGTTGGGAGAGGTCATGGTGAAGGTGGAAGAAGACACCATGAATGTGGAATTGCACAAGGTGAAGGTGGAAGAGGACACCATGAAGGTGGGAGAGGTCGTGGTCAAGGTGGAAGAGGACACCATGAAGGTGGGAGAGGACACCGTGAAGGTGGAATTCCACAAGGTGAAGGTGGAAGAGGACTTGGTGGAGGTGGAAGAGGATATGAAGGTGGGAGAGGTCATGGTCAAGGTGGAAGAGGACACCATGAAGGTGGAAGAGGCCACAGGGGAGATAGAAAAGGATGTGGTGAAGGTGGGAGAGGTCACAGTGAAGGTGGAAAAGGGCACAGAGGAGATGGAAGAGGTCACGGTGAAGGTGGAAGACAACGTGGTGAAGGTGGAAGAGAACCCGGTGGAGGTGGAAGATGTCTCAGTGAAGGTGGAAAAGGAAACACTAGAGGTGGAAAAAGAGACAGTGAAGGTGGAAGACGTCTCGGTGAAGGTGGAAGAGGACACCGAGGAGATGGAAGAGGACGCGGTGGAGGTGGAAGAGGACGCGGCGAACCTGCAAGAACCCCGAGAGGCGCCCCAGAACGTCACGGTGGAAACGGCCCC